GTCGCTCATTATCAATTACTCCACCGGCCTCGCTCCGTTCCCACGGCTCTCGGCCCCGCCCCCACTCGTCACAATGTTCATTCATGTTTATTCATGCTGTAACTAGTACAGAGGAAGAGATGATCGGTTCATGTGCCGCTTGAACTGAGGCGCTATAGTGATCTGTCACGACAAAAAGCCACAAAACGGTTTTTAGATTTAGGTATAATAGATTGTTACCTCCTATTTGCATTAATTTATATGCATTTGTTAGTCAGCAAAGTTACATATTTAAAGCTAGTGATGCGAGAAGACAAACTGATATGTTCATGCAGTCGACAGAAATACAAACAAATCAGAAATGTACTCGATTTCAGTTCTTTTTTTATCATCCATGTAATACATGTTTTGTTATTTTGATTAGATATTCTTCAAGTGTTCTAAAATAGGAGCAAATAAAGTGTGAGAGTGTGCATGCAATATACATATGTAATTTTAATGCTAGGGATGCACGATATTAGATTTTTGCCGATATGCCGATATTTTTCAAATTAGTTTTGCCGATAGCTGATGCCTATACCGATTATATATTCCCAGTTGTTTTGAAACAACACCAGGTCTCTCCTGTGTGGAAATTATATACAATTTTTTTACATTTTGGTTAGTTTTGAGCAAAATTGTATTTGTTAGTGGTAATAAGCATTATTAAAGAGTACATTGAAAGCCTTGAAAATAACTGTAATAAAATCAATCTCTGCTGTTTTTTTTTTTTTTTTGGCAGATGCAGTTCAAACCTTAACATTTTATTTGTGGATTTAACATTAATAGATGGTCTAAAGCAAAAGAGCTGTTATTGTATTTTACGTTTTCATAATCAATTTTAAAAAAGAATATATCGCATATTAATGAATAAATCTGTATATATGAAATTATTTAATTTAAAAGTGTCATGTTTGTGATTTTTATTCATGAAAGCTATAGCTTCTGACCTTCAAATCAAAACAGACTTGTGATTTTATGACATTAATACTGTTAATACTAATAAGTATCTTAATGCATTAGCACCCGGGGGAGGCTGCGACTGCTGCTACTGCACATGCTAGAAACAGTTGACTCTGTCGCACAAAGGACGCGTCATTCTGTATGTGCATTCTCAGATTAAATACAGTGATCCAAAACAGAGAATATAACCATTAAGGCAAAAATTTGCTTCAAGAATGACCACACTGCTGACCTTATCTTATCACTATCACACCCTGAGCACATGTGAGCTATTCGTCTTATCAGCCAGGCAGATCAGCAAAATTTTGTCAGATTGGCCGATGCCAATGTTTGCATTTTAAGTCTTTATCGGCCGATTCCGATAATATTGTGCATCCCTATTTAATGCTGTAGCTTTTGTGTAGATATTTAAAAAGATGGCTATCTTTAAAAGACTGTTTGGGTTTATGTGAAATGGTAACACTTTTGTAACATTAACCCTTTGAGCCGCAACCATGAAAATGACATACATGAACTCAGATCTTAGGTTAATAAATGCTGTAGAAGTATTGTTCATTGTTAGATTGTTAATGTACACGTACAATTTCAGATTTTAAAGAATCTGCTGTTATTTGCTAATGCACTACGAACTAACATGAATGATCAAGATACAATTAAGATATAAAAATGTATTTATATTTAAAAAGCACAGTACATTTTCATGGTCCAGTACTGTTTTTGTAATAGAGTTCAGCACTATTTCACTTGGAGTGTTATGTTTGTTTTCATTCAGTATTCTGGGTGGTTGCTATGGTGTTGCAGGTCGACACACACACACACACACACACTAAACTTTTAATACCTTAGTGTTTCGTGACATTTTGTGTGTGTGTCAGCTTCTGAGAATGAGCGGAATACAAATCTGAACATTGGCATAATAATTGATTTAGCAGTGTATGATGTTGTTATTGTGTTTTCTGGTGCGTCTGAAATGAGCAGCGTGAGCTGATTGTTAGTGTGCCGTGATTATTTGTATTGAGTATGATGAGTGAATGTAAAGTATGCTGTGTTTCTGTTGGAGGGTGCTGAAGGGCGTCTGTCCTCACGTTCGCTTTGTTCTCTTCTTTGTTTCATGAGGAGTCGAGTCGTGATTCTTCTGAACACTACAGGTGCCGAGTGAAAGCAGGAATACACAATCACACACCAGCACTTACTCCATTGCATGTCAGCATGTGCACCATTTGCACAATTTAATTATAAAGACTACAGATCAACACAAACCCAAGGGCTGTTTCTTAAAAGAAACCATTTAGCTTTTTTAGAGTTGAAAAAGAAAAGCTTGCTTTATGAATCAGTTTGACAGTGAAGATTGTCCCTGTGTATGTGTGTGTGTATTCAGAATTTTTTAAAAACCGTAAACAAACTGTTTTGCTCTTTTATTTTATATTTTAAGTCATTTTGTTTTTTTTGTTAATTGTTTACTCTTATTACATTTACTACATTTGCAAATTTTCTTATGCACAAATTTTCATATTCATTACATTTCATTTTCATATTTTTATTTTATTTATATATTTTTTTTACGTTATTTTATTTTTGTTGCTTCGTTCACTGGATTTGCATATTATTTGTATTGTATTTTAATTAATTACGTTTACTCTATTTGCATTTTCGTTTTAATTATTAATTCAGTTTGCATATCATTTTCATTTATTTGCATATTTTTATTTACATTCTTTGCTTAGGCACTCCATGTGCATGTTATTTTTTATTTTATTAAATTCACGCCATTTGCATAATTTTATTTTTTATTTTAAGTTATCTTATTTTTGTTACTTGTTTACTCTTTCATATTTTCTCTATTTTATTGTATTACATTCATTTAATTTGCATATTTTGTATTTTATTACTTATGCACTCCATTTGCACAATTTATTTTGTCTTGTATTCAGTTCCCCATTTGTGTGTTTTTTTGTTTTTGTTTGTTTTTTTGTTGTTTTTTTTGGACATTCACTCCATTTGAATATTGTTTAATTTACTTGTATTTTACTACTTGTACATTCTAGTTGCATATTTTTATTTTCTTGTAAATGACACATTTTACACTATTTGATTTAGGCTGCAGACTACTAACAGCTAAACACTAAACGGAAACTGCGGCAGAAAGAGAGTCTAGACAGATGAACAGACTGTGGGCTGTAATAATGAACGTGACCTTGTGTCTACAGCAGTTCCTCTGGTTCTTCAGGCTTTGGTTCAGTTCCAGATTGATTCCCTCACAGCTCGCCTCGTCTGACCGCTGACCCCAGCCGCCCGCTCTTAACAGCCTTACAGTCTGTCTCTGTCAGCTCCGTCCAAACCGAGCATTAGCATTGCTAAGCAGCAGTGTGTTTGGATGAAACGCCTGTCAGTGCTTATTCTGATGCATGTTGTACAGTATTACAAAAGTACATGTTCCATCCTGGCTGGTTTATGCAATTTCTGACAGTCAGTGTGTACAGGTTTATATATTAGTTTGTGTGGAAACAAAGTTGTACTAGATGTACACTAGTTTTGATAAACGTTTGAGGTTTGTGGTTTCATGTTTTTGTAATAATAAAATATTTTGATGCACTTGCTTAACTATTAATTGTCAACTCCATTTGCAAATTATTTTATTTTATTTCTGGTTTGCTCCATTTGCATATTTTAGGCACTCAATTTGCATAATTTTATTTTATTACATTCTTTTTGCATTTTCCTTTTTTCTTGTATTTTATTACATGTACTCCATTTGAAATTGTTTATTTTTTTGTTATTACTTGTTAACTTTATGTGCATATTTTTACAGTATTTTTTCTTCATTTAATTTTAGTCACCCCATTTGCTGATTTTGTCTTTTTTACATTCAATACATTGTAACATTCATTAAATTGTATTTTTGTTGTATTTTATCATTTGTTCATTGAATATTTGTATTACATTTACACCATTTGCATATTTTTATTTTAGTACTTGTTCATGTCATTTGCATTTATAATTTGTCATTATAATTTATATTTATTCCTTATTGCATATTTTTATTTTCTTGTTCATTCCATTGGCATATTTTTTATTTTATGACATTCACTCCATTTGCATTTTCATATATTTTCATTTTATTTCATTACTTGTTCACTTCATTTGAATTAGTTTTATTACATTCACCCCATATGCACATTTTATTGTGCCACCTTTTCACTATGAATTTAATCTAGGCAGCACACCTGGTAGCTATTAGCAACGATAATCCACAAATTAAGACTTTTGTAAATTTTGTCCATTTAGCCTGCCTGTATAGATGTGTCCACATGATGTGATATCCCACAATCCTCCAGTGTGTGTGGTTTGATGGTTGGCGGAAAGAATAATAATGCTGTTTGATGGAGAGGTTGAAAAGTGTAGACTAATTCACAAATGGCAAATCACGTTTTTAACACATGACTTAATTTCTCTTGAAAATATCCATTGTAGTCCTTAAATGTTTGCTTGGTTTAGTCTAAAGCTCACTTGAATTTGTTCTAGATCATTAGATGTGACGTTACGGTTCCTTAGAAGTCGATCTGAGAGCAGTTTCCTCAGGAGGTGCAGAGAAACATGTTGCACTCCGTCAAAAATAATATCACTCCTGTTATAATCAATAAAGCTGTCTGTTTTTTTTTTTGACATTCTCCACAGCTTTTTCATATTGTTTTCCTGGTCTGTCTGACATAGAAATGGTCTTTCTCATAAATAAATTTCTGTACAATGCATTTTTTTGTTATGCCTTTATACAACAAGCAATACCTCGCAATCATCTATATCTCAAATTCAGACTGAGTTTCTGTTGCATGCAGTTAAAGCCATTTGTAAACCATGCATTTTAATTTGTAAATGTAAACAGTTTGCCAGTTTTAGTCTAGTGTCTGATCTAATTGTCTTGACAACATTGACAACCACATAGCAACACCTTGGTAGCCATTATAAGAAGGTATATTATAAGAAGCACATACAGTAGCAACAAGTGTAAAACCATTCAGAACATTTTGGCAACTGCATAGCAACACTTTGGTAACCATCTGGAATATTATAACAAACCCATACTGTAGCAACACACTAAAAGCCACTCAGAACACCTTGACAACTGCATAGTAACACCTTGACAACCATCCAGAATATTACGAGAAACACATACTGTAGCAACACACTCAACCACTCAGAAAACCTTGGCAACCAACCAGAAAATTATAACAAAAACATACTGTAGCAACACATTAAAAAAACACTCCGAACACCTTGACAACCGCATAGCAACACCTTGGCAACCATATAGAATATTATAACAAAACAAACTGTAGAAGTACACTAAAAACCATTCAGAACACCCTGGAAACTGCATGGTAACAACTTGGTAACCATCCAGAATATTATAACAAACATATACTGTAGTAACGCACTAAAAACCACTCCGAACAAATTGACAACCACATAGCAACACCTTGGCAACCATACAGAAAATTGTAACAAAAATGTACAGTAGCAACACACTAAAAACACTCAAACACCTTGTCAACCACATAGCATCACCTTGGTAACCATCCAGAATATATTAGCAACCACTTACTCTAGCAACGCAATAAAAACCACTCAGAAGTCACTTTGCAACACCTTGGTAACCACTCAGAGCAACTGATTCAAATCAGTTTGAATTAGCGACAGTGCACTAAAACAAATGTTGTGTTTATGTTGCAGATACGCTAGTCTGTATTTCTGCTGTGCCATTGAGGACCAGGATAACGAACTGATCACACTGGAGATCATCCACCGCTACGTCGAGCTGCTCGACAAATACTTCGGCAGCGTAAGTCGCGCAGCAGAAAATAAATCGACGTTACTAGTTGCCTCCAAAAACGAAAGCGATTGCAGATAACAGTGATTGATCTTCGCAAACTCAGGTCTGCGAGCTGGATATCATCTTTAACTTTGAGAAGGCGTATTTTATCCTGGACGAGTTCCTGCTGGGAGGCGAGGCTCAGGAGACGTCGAAGAAAAACGTCCTGAAAGCCATCGAGCAGGCGGATCTGCTGCAGGAGGTGAGGCGCCTGTGCTTCCTTAAAGCATTTCGGGGACAAAAACACTTTGCTGAGCAATATAGTTGAAGTTAATTAGTCAGCTGACTTGTTTATATCTAGCTTCTATAGAATAATAAATCATCAGGTTTAATGGGTCTCTTGCCCTCTTGAGTACTGAGGTTTATTACCACCACTGCAAAGCAACAGGGCCGTTAGCGTACATCATCGTGTTTTTGGCCTCTCACTTTGAATTGAGTAGTAGAAATCCCTCAGGAGCTGCAGGTTCACAATGACTCATTGGTTATCGGCGCACACACACACATGCTGCTCTTGTGTGTGTGATACCCAGCCAGCCCGGCGCTTGCAAAACAAAACGTTCCTTTGTTCGTTACAGTGTAGAGGAACTGAGCTTTCAAACACAATCTTTTCATCTTGGTCTTCATGGAGTCTTACAGACGCGCAGATCTGCAGGATATCTGTCCTGATGCTGGGATTTCAGATTGAAGCTGAAGTGTGTCTTTTTTTTAAGGTTACAGTGTTTTCTCGTATTCCATTTGAATGTGCAGAGTTGCTATACGTCTAATCTGAAGTCTAAACAACTGCCTAGTAACACTTTTGCAATCACCCAGATCCCTAGCAACCGCATAGCAACACCATAGGAAGCACTCGGAGCATTCTACCAGTCACTTTAGAACTGCCTAGCAACATCCTGGTAACTGTCCAGAATGCTGTATCAACCGCATAGCAGCACACTAAAAAAAAAAAACTCTGAACAACCACATGGCAACAATTTGGCAACTGTCCAGTGCATTATAGCAACCACATACTATGGCAATGCTCTAAAAACTGATCTCCTTGGTAACAACATAGCAATGCCACAGTAACCATTAAGAGAACTCTTAAGAATCACCTCAGAACTGCATAGCATCACCCTAGCCTAGCAACCATTCATTATAGCAAAACCATACTCAAAACACTAAAAAACACCATGGCAGTCACATAGCAACAACCTGGCAACCTCTCATAATACTACAGCAACTGCATAGCAACACTATAGGAACCACCCACAACATTCTAACAGTCACCTTAGAACCGCATCACAACACCTAGTAACCATTCAGAGTATTATAAGCTACTAAATACTGTAGCAATAAGTGAAAAAACACTCAAAACGCTTTAGCAATCACAGAGCAACACGTTAGTAACCATCCAGAATATTGTAACACATACATACTGTAGCAACACACACACAACCACTCAGGACACATTGGTAACCACATAGCAACACCTTGGCAACCATCCAGAACATTATAGCAACCACATACTATAGCAACACACTCAAAACCACCTTGACAACTGCACAGAAGCACCACATTTACCGCTCAGAGAATTTCAACAGTCACCTTGGAACTGCATAGCAACACCCTGACAACCATCCAGAACACTGTATCAACTACTTAGTAACACACTAAAAACACTCTAAACACTTTGACAACCACATAGCATTAACACCGTAACCACTCAGAGAACTCTAACAGTCTCCTCACAACTGCGTAGCAACATCCTAACAACCATTTAGAGCATTATAGCAACTAAATACTGTAGCAAAAAGCTAAAACACTCAAAACACCTTGGCAATCACAGAGCAACAACTTAACAGCATACTAAAAAAACACTCTGAACAACCGCATGGCAACAATTAGGCAACCGTCCAGTGCAAGGAACCACCCAGAACTTACTAACAGTCACTCAGTCAGAACAGCATAGCAACACCTTAGTAACCTTTCAGAGCATTATAGCAACAACATACTGTAGCAACAAGCTAAAAACACTAAAAAACATCTTGGCAATCACAGAACAACCTGACAACCACATAGCAACACTATAGGAACCACCCAAAACATTCTAACAGCCATCTCAGAAACGCATAGCAACACCCTAGCAACCATTCAGGGCATTATAGCAGCCTCATACTGTAGCAGCATCCTAAAAAATGCTCAAAACACCTTGGCAGTTGCATAGCAACACCTTGGTAACCATCCAGAATATTAGAACAAATACATACTGTAACAACACACTCAAAACACTTTAACTGCATAGCAACACCTTGGCAACCTTCCAGAACGTTATAGCAACCACATACTGTAGCAGCACACTCAAAACACCTTGACAACTGCACAGAAGCACTGCATTTACCGCTCATAACTCCAAGAGTCGCCTTAGAACTGCATAGCAACACCCTGACAACCATTCAGAACACTGTAACAACCACATACTGTAGCAACACACTCAAAACCACTCAAACACCTTGGCATCCACATAGCAACAACTTGGTCACCATTTGGTATATTATAACAAACAAGTACTGTAGCAACACAGAAAAACACTCAGCGCACCTTGGTAGCCACATAGCAACGGCATGACAGCCAGCCAGAACGTTCTAGCAACGGCCTAGCAACTACCCAGAACGTCCTGGCAACTGCATAGAACATGATAGCGAGCAGAATGTCCTAGCAACCTCATAATTACAGCCTAGTAACTAGCCAAAATTGCAACTATCCAGGCTGCTTTAGTAACTGCATAAAACATGCTAAAAACGACACAAGACCATAGCAATTGCATAGCAACGGCGTGGCAACATAAATTGCGCTTGCAGTTCTGCTTTGTGCCTCTAGAGGAGAAATGGCACACTTCAGCTTTAATTCAGGTGTGCTCTGTAGAGACATTTTCACACTGAATTTGAAATTAAATTCTTCTCTCTGTTGCTTTCTGTATCCTTCCTTCCTTTTGTCCAACTGCATTGTTTTGATTTACAGAATCTAGATTTTCAGATTCGTCTGCTTCCAGGTATGATTTATGGATTATTGACCGTAGTCGTCAGTCTCCCTGTAGCTCTAGTCATTAATCTGATCCCAGTGCAACGTGATTTTATTCTACATGTTGTTAGCTTCCGGAATGACGAATCCGTCCACTGGATGCCATGTAGAATTTTAGTTAGTAGTAACTATAGAATAATTGAGTGAATCTCATGAAAACGGGTCACATTGCAACAAAAAACCAAATGAATGAAACAAGAAATAATATTTTACATAAAGAAAATTGTTTGAGGAAAATAACATCACATTCTAAAATCTTAATGACCCAAAACATAGACTTGATTTTTAGTCAAACAAAATAATATTTTGTTTCTCTGTAGTCTTCCTACAAAATCAAAAGGAAAAAATTAAAGAATGTTTTATAAAAGATATAGTTTATATTTTGATTGAGAGAAAACATGATTAATAGTGATTAATGACTTTCTTGTATTTTTTGTTAAATTTTGACCAATACATTTCCACTTAAGCCAGTTTTTTTTTTTTTTTAAGTAAAATACAAATATTATGTGTAAATATGTATCTGCACAGTTTTTAAAATACATTTATTTTTCCACATTTCACACCAAAGCCAAAAGGGAAAAAATAGAAAACTCATATTTTGTTTGAGTAAAAAATAAGTATTTATAATTTTTAAATTAATACAATTTTTAATAATTAAGATTTTGTTTTTGCATTATGACATTATTCGTTTCCTCATTTTCTTTACGTAAAATACGAGTTCTTATTTCTTATTTTGATTGAATTTTCTTGACATGTTTTGTGAGATTCACCCATTTAGTTACTAATGAAGCCAAGCAGTTTAGTTCCTGTATATTATCATAAATTCTCCCAGCATAAGGGTTTTTGGATGAATGAATGATGGGATTGTCTGTTTTTGTAATTCCGGTTGATTTAGGCATTAGTTACAGACTAGAGGAAGTAGAAACATTCATTCACCATCGTTAAACCCAAGTTTGTGGAGCTTTGAAAGCAGAACGGAGCTGCGGTTTATCATCTCTGACTGCGATCCTGACAGACTTTGTCCCGAGGGCCAAATTACAGGCAGACAAAGGAGAACGAGAGAACAAAGACGTGCTGTCCACGCTTTAGCAGCAG